AATAAATACATATTAAAAACGGTAACAACAAAATACACATCATAGGGCTCCCAGAAGGAAGGAGAGAGGGTGAAATAGAGAGGGAGAGGAGAGAAGGAAGAAAAAAAATGAAGGGAGGAAGGGAGTGGGGGACCAAGAAGAGATAAATATCCCATTTGAATAAATAATTGCTAAGACCTTTCTTAACTTGGGGAAGGAACTAGATATTCCTGGGGAAGATATTAGACATCAATGCCAACAAAAAATTCACACACACCTTTTCCAAAATATATTCACAAAACTGGCAAAAACGTAAAATAATCCAGGGCAGAATACTACAAGAACCTAGAGAAAAGCAAATCACATAGAAGTGAACTCATAGAATCTCATCTGTGAACTTTTCAGTGGAGACGTCTTAATCACTTGATCACTTGACTTCCCGTTAATTATCAATTTGCCTGAGCGGGCGCCAGTAACGTTTCCATTCATCCCTGTCGCGTGCTAGTGTAGCCCAGTGGCGTCTGTTCGTTCTAGGAACACAAACAGCCTCAAACCGATTGTTCAGGGTCTTGACAAAGAAGTCTGACCACTTCGTCAAGGTGGGAGGCCACGCGATCTTTTGATGTCCCGTGGAATCCAGTCAGTAATGGCTCTAGTCCAGTGGTCGTCTCCCAATCTCATTACGTGTCCAGCCCATCTGATTTTTGACGCCTTGGCAAACGAGACAGCGTCCCTGATTCTTGACCGTTGACAGAGGTCGGAACTCCGGATTCTTTCTCTCATTTGAGTGAAACGTGATACTCTGAGCATAGCTCTTTCGATTCCTCTTAGGGAGACCCGAATAGCATTCTCATCCTGTGTTCATAGGGCCCAGGTCTCTGAGGCTCATGTTAATGCAGGAAGAACAGTGGAATCAAAGAGATGTGCCCGAAGCCAGAGGTTCTTTGTCCTCTTAGGTATTTCTTCGAAGCTCGTGAAGGCATTCCAAGAAGCTCTCTTCCTCCTGTGCAACTCAGGTGCCAGGTCATTCGTCATGTTGACTTCTCGACCTAGGTACACATAACTGTTGCATTCAGAGACGGTCGTTCCATTGCAAATGGAACATCAGGAACGAGACTGTTTCTCATAAACATTGTCTTCATGAGATTCAGCTGTAGTCCGACCTTTCCACACTCACGGTTGAAGTTGGCCAGCATTTGTGCTGCTTGGCTAAATGTTTGGTGTTATTAGAATAATGTCATCAGTAAAGCGGAGGTGGTGTAGTTGCCGACCATCTATCTTCACTCCCATTCCTTCCCATTCCAGTCATCATATGACGTTCTCGAGGGTGGCACTGAAGAGTTTCGGTGAAATGGTATCACCCTGCCGAACCCTTCTCTTGACATGGATGATCACTTCTTTGTAGAATTATGAGATCCTGGTAGTGGATCTGTAATATAGCTCTCGGAGGATTCTGATGTATTGAGTTTGAATGCCCTGATTGGCTAGGGTTTCAATGACGACTTCCGTCTCAACAGAATCAAAGGCCTTCTTTAAATCGATGAACGTTAGACAGAGCGGCATCTTGAACTCCTGAGAAACCTCAATGAACTTGGTTATTGTGTGAATATGGTCAATTGTGCTGAATCCTTTGTGGAACCTGGCTTGCTCGCATGGTTGACCTTCATCTAGTGTTCTGCCAATCCTATTCAGGATGACTCTAGTGTACAGCTTGTAGATGACAGACAATAGCAGATTGGGTGATAGTTGCCAATGTCGTGGATGTCTCCCTTCTTGTACAGTAGTACAGTCCTGCTGGTTTTCCATTGGGACAGAACCTTGCATTCAGACAGGTAGCGCATGAAGAGTTGAGCCAGTGTATTGATGAGTACTGATGGCAGATTCTTCAGGTGTTCAGGTCTGACCTTGTGTGGGCCAGGTGCTGTTCATTTCTTTACCGATAAAATGGCATGTTAGATTTCAGAAGGGAGAATGTTGGGAACGACATATCCATCCTGTAGAATTTGCTATGTGGGCAGATGGACATGGCTATCATAGAGATCCGAGTAGCAGTCATGGATAATCTTCTCCATTGCCCTTCTGGAAGATGTGAGAGATCCATCAGGAAGTCAGAGGGCAGTCCTCTTGGTCTTGTAGTTGGCTAAGGACAGGCAGGCATTACTAATGCTTTTCCTGGCTTCTGCCGCATCTACCAGCACTACTGCTCTTCTCTCTTTGAGGTCTTCCTTTATCGCATCTCTGCACTGCTTTGCGAGCTTGGACGTTCACTTGCGGTTGCCTGAGGTATGCACTGAACCACGTTGGCAAATAAGCTCAAGAGTTCTCAAAGACAGGGTTTTTTTTTTGTGGCTATCTCTCTCTTGGCATTCCTCACACAATCATGGAGGTGCTGAACCAGTCGATCGTATTCCTCATCAATGTTATCAATGATGGCATCTTCCCATGTTGCAGCAATAGTGCCAAAGAGCTCCCAGTTGGTGGTCGTTCTGGGAGATCTCTTCTTAAACTTTGCAGCCCTTTCTCCCCACTCTGTGAAGTAGAATTAGATGTCTTAGAACAGGAAAATAAAGGCTCTCTATATTCAGAGTGTTAAAAAATATATTTCAGCCTGGAAAAATTAACATTCAGAACTGAAGGGGGGATAGAGATTCTTCAGAGAAGTCATCATGTACAAACTGATCTTGCAAGAAAGATGAAAAGGAAAGGAATCTTGTAAAACAAAATTGACAACATGGAAGAGATGGGAGAGAGAGTAAGAGGGAATGTGCCTGCCACAGAGGCAGGCCTGCATCGAATATAGCCTGCCCACAGGGCAGAGTCTGGCAAACTCCCCGTGGCGCACCCAATATGCCAAATACCAGTAACAGTGATGGGTCTCATTCTCCTAAAGAGCCTTGAATATAATCTCAGGGCTAGGATGAAAGAGACGTTACTGGGGCCTGCTCGAGGCAATCGACGAATAACAGGATGATGAATGAATGAATGAATGAATGAACAGAGGCAGGGAGTGGAAAGGGGTGGGGTGGCGGGAGGGATACTGGGAACATTGTTGACGGAGAGTGGGCACTGGTGGCTGGATGGATACGCGATCATTATATGACTGAAATGTAATCACAAAAGTTTGTTAAGTCTGTAACTGTTTCTCATGGTGGTTTATTTAAAAAAAAAACTTTTCTAAAAAAAAGCCCTGATGTTTGGGCTGTTTTTATGCTCAGCTTCCTTCTGCCCTTGGGTTGGCATTCTGTCTGTCTCTCTCTCTCCCCCTTCCTCTCTTCCTTCCTTCTTTCCTTCCTTCCTTCTTTCCTTCCTTCCTTCCTTCCTTCTTCTTCTTTCTTTCTTTCTTTCTTTCTTTCTTTCTTTCTTGTCTTCCTTCCTCTCTCCCTCCCTCCCCTTTCCCTCCCTCTCTCCTTGCCTCTCTCCTTCCCTCCCTTTTTCCCTTCCCTTTCCCTCCCTCCCTCCCTTCCTTATCACTCACTCCCTCTTTCCTCCTCCTCCTTCCTTCCTTCCTTCCTTCCTTCCTTCCTTCCTTCTTTCCTTCCTTCCTTCCTTCCTTCCTTCCTTCCTTCCTTCCTTATCATTTCTTTTTCTTATCATTTATCATTTCCTTTTCTTATTTTTATTTTTGGGCTATACCTGATGGAGCTCAGAGCTTCATGCTCAGGGATCACTCCTGGTGGGGCTCAAGGGGACTCTACGGGTGCCAGGGATGGGACTCAGGTTGGTCGCCTGCAAGGCAAACATCTCACTCCAGCTCTTGTTTAGCTTTTATGTGTTCTCTGTGTTGCTGCTACAGGGGCACTCCCAGGACTGCTCCCTCACAGCTGTCAGGGTCCTGTCTTTTCCTGAAGTATATGTGCACAGTGGAATTAGAATGCTTTTTCTTTTTTGTTTGTTTGCTTCATTTTGTGTTTTTGAGTGTTTTCTGGCCATATCTGATGCTCAAGGACAGTTTCTAGATATGCTTAGGAGTCACCCCTGCTGGTGTTCAGGATACCTTAAATGATGTCAGGGATATAAACTGGGGTCAGCAGCATGCAAGGTAGCTACCTTAACCCATGGACTATCTCTCTTGCCCCTGGAATTATATAGCCTGGTAAATTTTTGATGACATTTCCTTAAAAGTTGCAAAAATGCTTTCTAAAGTGGTTACAACTATTTCATATTCCCAGGAGCAGGGGTTGAGGGTTGCTATTTCTTCATTTCTTTGTCAACTCTTGTTAGTATGTAATTATTTTGATGAAAGCTATTGCAATGGTAGGAAATGGTACCTCCCTGCTCCATAAATTTTATATTAAAAACAGTCTGAGAATTTTGCTTTCTATACACTACAGCCCTGTGAACTAGTCGCTATGATCCACCTTGCTCTCTGGAGAATACAGAGATACATGAAGTTTGCCCCAAAGTGAGAAAATAACTGAGAGGCACTACATCCTGGGCTACACTACATCGGAGAAGCCCCCCACCCCACCCCCCCCCCCCCGCACCACCACCACCACCACCACCACCACCACCACCAATGTCTCAGAGCTGAGCAAAGAGACTTGGAACTCTTTTGCAAGATCAAGCATTCAAGTGAAGGTCAAGGCAGTGAATGGAATGTCTGCTTGGTCCTGGAGTAACCTCAGTCAGAGCCTGCCAGAGGAGCCAGGCACACAGTAGTTGAATTTGCTCCTTATTTTGCATAGAGGCTGAGCTCTGGGCAGAGCTCCAGACATCTTGGCAATGTCACGTCTTTATCAGCTCAACTGAGACATAACGAGCTGGACACACTAGCTCTGGGGGTGCCCGCACGGTGCTCAGGCAGGATTCAGGCAGGACTTCAGGACTCTGCACCGCAGGTGAGCACAGAGCCTAAGGGATGGTATGGAGGATACTTTGGTGTTTGCTTTATTGGGAGAAGGAACAGGACACTAGTCTCATGGCCCAAAAGGCAGAGCATCAGGAGACACAGGTAGTAAGGGGAGTGGACTGGTGGTGTCCCCTTCTTTCTCTTTCTTTCTCTCTTGTCAGTAACCATTAGCATGAACACAAGCACGGACCAGTTCTTTCGTGACAACCTCTGGTTCCACTTCTCAGTGTACCTCTTCGCCTTCCTCGTGGGGCTCCCCCTGAACCTGCTGGCCCTGCTGATCTTTGTGGGCAAGCTGCGGACCCGCGCAGTGGCCGTGGACGTGCTCCTGCTCAACCTGACCATCTCAGACCTCATCCTGCTTCTCTTCCTGCCCTTCCGCATGGTGGAGGCGGCCAGTGGCATGCGCTGGCCTCTGCCCTTCTTCCTCTGCCCCTTCTCGAAATTCCTCTTCTTCACCACCATTTATGTCACGTCTTTGTCCCTGGCGGCTGTGAGCATCGAGCGCTTCCTGAGCGTGGCCTACCCGGTATGTTACTGGAGCCGGCCCAGAATAAGACAAGCAGTGCTGGTCAGCGGGGCCTGCTGGCTGCTGTCAGGTACTAACTGCAGTGTGGTCTACATCGTGGAATTCTCTGGACATTCCTCCCATGGCCAAGGAAACAACAACACCTGTTATCTGGAATTCGAGGAGGACCAGCTGGCCATTCTCCTACCTGTCCGTTTGGAGATGGTGGTGGTTCTCTTTGGGCTTCCCCTGCTCATTACAATTTACTGCTACAGTCACTTGATATATTTGCTCAGTAAACGGTGCAGCCGTCGCCAGAGGAGGAGGGTGGCAGGGCTGGTGGTGGCCACACTGCTCAACTTTCTCATCTTCTTTGGACCTTACAATGTGTCTCATGTCGTGGGCTATATCCAGGGTCACAGCCCATCGTGGAGAAGTTACGTTCTGCTGCTCAGCACCCTGAACTCCTGCATCGACCCTCTTGTCTACTACTTCTCCTCCTCTCAGTTCCAAGCTGAAGTCCGTGGGATACTGAGGAGACTGGCCGGGGCCTGCAGACCTGGGACACAGGGGGACTGTGGAAATCTGAGGGATATGATGGCGAGAGAGGGTGTCATCCAAAATGGTTCTACCTAGAGAACAACAGTCTCTAGGGGGCTGTGGGTAGGGGGCAGATACTCTCGGCTGGTCCTTGCTCAGGCAAGACTGGAACTTAGAGTGACCTCCTTGGCACTGGGTGGTGAGAGACAGGTTAATCAGCATGACCGCTTGATCTCACACAAGCTGGGCCATTCCCCACCACCTCTGTCCACATCATGGGTCTCTCTGGGAGCAGTCAAGGGAAGTGATTGGGGAAATGGAACTCCCCCACCCCTATGTATCCGGTCAGCCAAGAAGGCCGAGGAGGGGATGAAAGCTGTGTCCTGTGTCCTGGTGCCTGTGACTTTGGATAGGGGACAGCGAGAGTCGTCCCTTGGGAGATATTGATGCAGCAGACTGAGAAGTGGCAGGGGGGAGGGGGTGAGGGTGGGTGGTCCCACAGGACTTCTGGTCCAAGGGGCGGTCATCTGTTCTTGTGGGGGATTTCCCGAAGGTTTGCTCTGTTCAACACATTCAGATTGTTGGAAATATTTGTGAGGAATGAAAAAAATATTCATCAAAATAAATGTGGTAGCAAGCGGAGTAGGGTGGTGTCTCCTTATGCCACTTCTTTTCCAAGTGCCTGTGGGTCAGAGCCGATGTGGGATGAGAGAAAGGTGATGGTCTTTAGGAAAGACCTGGAGAATCTGGGGTGCCAGGAGAGAAGCTGATGGGAGGAATGAAGATAACTGCAGTAGCTGGAGAGATAACGGCAGGGAGGGCTCCTGCCTGGCATACAGCCAACCTGAATTTGATCCCTGGAACCACATATGGTCCTCCAAACCCCTCCAGGAGTGATCCCTGAGCACAGAGCCAGGAGTAAGCCCTGAGCACCGACTAGTGTGACCCCCAAAACCATAAAAAGGAAGGAAAAAGAAAAAAATAACAGCAAAGCACTTTAGGGACTTGACCTGACCCGCTGTCCCCTCAGCCCTGCTGAGGGCTGCTGGCAGGTTCTGTGTTTCCGTGACAGAGTGGCTAAGTCTCCTCTTGCTACTCAGAGCTCACAGCCTTAGCTGGAGCTCATGGACTTCATGGTCTCCCTCACCTTGGGTGCTTTGTGTCCTCTGGAGGGATCGGGCTCCACCACAGTCCAGATACTGAGCAGGACAACTGTCAGTGGGTTACGACGAGGAAAGGAAGGAGATGTAAAGCAGCCCCACTCTCTGAGTGTACTGCATCCCTGAGAGAAGTCCTCTGGTACACCAAATTAGGAAAATTAGTCACTAATGCTGACTTTGCATTATTACGAAGACAAATGTCCCTTTTAAGAGCTAAGATAATCCGCATGGAGGCATGGAGTCAATTTTCCATCAGGTTGACCTCTAGGTGAAAGTGAGTCAATGTCTTGTCCTAGCAAAGCACCCCAAGAAAGGCTGGCAGCTGTGTGCGGGCAGCTGGGCTCTCCCCCATTCATCACGCTGGTGCCAAGTCTCCCAAATCCCAATTCTAACATCTTGGCATCTGGTGTTCCTGGGGCAACTGGGACAGTAAAGACAGCTGTGGGTGAGGACTGGGAAAGAGTCATCATCCCTGTGCAAAGGTGAAGGTATGAGCTACCTCATGTCCCATGGCTCATCTGTCTGTCCCGAGTCACTCAGGTGTGGCAGTTGCTCATGGGTTAGTATGGGGGTTGTGGTTGGGTAGGAATAGAGGTGCCAGAAAGTTCTAGAACTCCATAACTGGTACCAAGGACTCAAGCCTGGGGACAAAGTGGAGGCAACCCCCCCCCACACACACACACACATGCTACAGAAGACCGTGAAGAAGTAGAGTCTACCTCCTGCCCCAGAGATTGACAAGGAATCGGAGACAGATGACTGCTGCCCCCAACCAGCAGCAGCATCCCAACCTCCATGTACAAGTGAAGGCTGGGCAGTTGTTGGGTTTTCCAGATCTCTCAGAAGCCAAGTAGAGGGTTGCTCCGAGAAGGTAGGGTGTGCTCCGGGGCTGCTCCTCTGAGACCATCCAGTGGGAGGAAGAAATGGAGGAGAAATGAAAGGGGTGTCAGTTACTGTCACCATCGTGCAGAGCAAATTGGTTCAAATGTCCTGGGGCAAGGGTAGAATTTCTAGAGGTCTAAACCAGGTCAACTCTCCCAAGATGGAAGTCAGGAGAACTCATTGGTATTGAAAGAAGAATCATTGGTACATGCCTCACGGAGGGCACCCAACACTCCTCATCCTTAGGAGGTAGAGCATTCTCATCCTTAGCACCAGTTCTCATGTCTGCCGATGCCCTCAATGGGCTTCTATTTCTAGTCACTTTCTCTTTCTATACTGTTGTTTTGGTTCAACACACAACACACACACTAGGTATCTATTCATGTGTTTAGGAGGCCACAAACTATGTAAGAGAGACTGTTGTTCTCCCCTAGAAGGGACATTCACCCTTTAGGGGGCAGTACTTCAGCTCAGAATGCATGAGTTGGAAACGGTCTCATGGGAGAGTGTCAACCGACTGGACCTGGTTCTCTTGCTGGAGCAAAGGAGACCACATCCCAGGAGAAGCGTAGGGTTCTCAAAAAGAAGAGATTCATCCAGGATTTGGGGGCAGGGTGGTGTCTGGGAGATACTGTTGGTGAAGCAGCATCTGCCAGGCTCAAAGCAAAGGGACAGGCCAGCACCATTCTGTCAGAGCAGTCAACTTGGGGTCCCAGTTCCTTGGAAAATGAAAAGTTAAAGGTAGGACCTGGTTGATAGAATGGGTATGAGATGCATGAGTGATAAACTCAGATTTGTTTGCGGGTTTTGTGACCGAAATCTTCACGTTTTCTTGGAGTCAAGAATGGGCAACCTTTCCCCATCTCCCTGTTCTTCCAGGAGCCTGGCAGTCACACCTACGAACTGCCTCTGGTGCCATATAAGTTCATTAATGGCCATGATCCAGAGACTCACAAATAAATATTGGAAGAGAGCCACAAGCTGCAGAGATGCCTCTGGACCCCAAAGTCACCATCCGGTAAAAATTTTAACTCCAACTGTATCACCCTATTTAAAATTTTAGAATTCCTGGATCACGTGGCCACGAATGCTCTACATCTCATACTCTATGCCACTTATGTACCAGGAATAGAACACCACATTACAAGGGATATGAAGTAGAAGGCTGGAGCGATAGCACAGCGGTAGGGCATTTGCCTTGCATGCAGCCAACATGGCCTACCCAAGTTCGATTCCTCCGCCTCTCTCGGAGAGCCCGGCAAGCTACTGAGAGTATCTCGCCCACACGGTAGAGCCTGGCAAGCTCCCCGTGACGTATTTGATATGCCAAACACAGTAACAACAATGTCTCCAATGGAGACGTTACTGGGCCCGCTCGAGCAAATCAATGATCAACGGGAGGGCCTTTACTTACTTACTTACATATATATATATTATATGTATATATATGTATATAGCTCAACTTGTAACAACATGTTAGTAATCTCTTATACAAGGGTTTAATGGTTCCAGGCTGAGATACAACAATCTTCACACAATTTCCTGTAAGGAAACTTTTTGGAATCATTTTTAGTGGATTATTCATAATAAGAAATACAAAATAAATTATTTAGGTCCTGCTTTGGGGAGAGGCTTGCGTGATGGTGGGAAAATTTGAAATAATGGTGGTAGGAAGGTGTAACGGTGGTGGGATTCGTGTTGGAACATTAAATGTAATAAATTATTGTGAACAACTTAAAAAAATAAAATGTGTGATAAGGGGCTGGAGTGATAGTACAGCAGGTAGGGCATTGCACGCGACTGACCCGAGTTCAATCCCCAGCATCTCATATGGTCCCCCAAGAACTGCCAGAAATAATTCTTTTTTTTGGCTTTTATACATAATATTTTATAAAGGTTATAAATTTTTGGCATTTTAAATATGAATCAGTACTTTCAATAGATATTTTTAATCTGTTTTTTAACAATAATATAAAATACATTTATCACTATACATAAGAACTAGCTATTACTCAATCAGTGAGAATACTTTTAACAATAGATATTTAGAATTAAAAATAAACCCAATGTGGGACTACGAAGTAGTGGTATCAAAAGACGCTGATAAACAAATATAGTGTAAGGTATTTAGAAATCACACAACTTAAGCTTCCACATCCTGATGATCACTAGATTTTAGTTTATTCTATTGTTGTAAATTATATTTTGGTTTTTGTGTTACACCTTGCGGTGCTCAGGATTTACTTCTGGCTCTGCACTCAGGGATTACTACTGGCTTTACTCAGGGAACCATATGGGATATCAAAATCAAACATGGGTTGGCTATGTGCAAGGCAAGTGCCATACTCACTGTAATGTCTAACTCATCCCATTTTTAAATTTATTTTATTTTTTTCATTTTTTGTAATTTAATTTTTGAATCACTGTGAGACCAGTTACAAAACTTTCGGGTTTAAGTCTCGGTCATACAATGAAACACCCATACCTTCACCAGTGCCCATTCTTCACCCCCAAAAACCCCAGTATACCCCCATTCCACACCCTCCCCCTACCTATGGAGCAGATGACCTCCACACTACTCTCTCTGTAACTTTGATTACATTCAATATTTTGACACCTGACCCACCATTATTATTTGGGATTTTACCCCAACACTCGGATCTGCCAAAAAGGCAACAGTAGACAATTAGTTTTCTATTGCTGGTTATGAATAACATATGATGTCGCAAGACTGCAGTGGTAGTTGCGCGATTTTGAAATTCTGAAATTTTAACAATTAAATCTAGAGAGATTTCTGCCAAAACCTGCTGGGTTCCGAGATTTGTTCCTGAGTCTCTGGCATCATGGCCGTTTAGCAGCTTGATCAGGAGCCAGAGAGACCGTTCATGGGTGGTGACTCAGGGTCTCGTTGGGATGGGGAGAAAAGGGCCGGCTCCACCCCCATCTCATGAGGCCCCGTGTGTCTCATCACTGAGGGCCCAAACCTGACTGTTCAATGTCCTCTGGAGGATGGTGGCCACCGAGCCATCAAGGGGGATCAGGCAGAAGGACAGC